GTTCAAGCTCACCAGCTGCTCCTTGGAAACCCTATACAGGGTCACTATGGGTTGGAACCAACTCAACAGTACATAACAACAAAATATTTGATACAAGTATGGTTGTCTTGGCAGAGCCAGACCAAAAGATCTCATGGGCATTATATGGCCCACAAGTCAGATGCTCCTCAACCCTGAATTAGACCTTTATGCAGTGTCTTTGCCAAAGATTTTTTTTGTTTGTTTGCAGGTTCTTTTTATAATCTCCTAGTAAAGTCTTTCAATGATCATTGGTGGGGTTTTTTGTTTGTTTGTTTGTTTTTGAGGGGGTTGCAATGGTCTCATTTGTGTTCTTTCATTTATGTATTTTTAGTTTTGTCTGATAAAATATTTATGACAAAAATTAGGTCCCTTAGTTTTGACTCATGTTATCCTCTAGGAACGTTATAGTTTTAGTTTTAACAGTAAGTCTTTGAGTAATTTTGAGTTAGTTTTTGTACATGGTGTGAGAAATAGATCCTGATTAATTTTTCTTCATATGGATATCCAACTTTGCCAGCACAATTTGTTAAAATTGTTGAATGGACTCTGACCCTTTTTTGAAGATCAGTTGTCACAGACAGATGGACTTACTTCTGGGTTCTCAATTCTCTTCCATTAGTCTATGTATCTATTCTTGTGCCAGTACCAGACTATTTTGATTACTCTGATTGTATAGTAATTTTTGAGATCAGGAATCCCCTGCTTTGTTCTTCTTTAATATTATTTAAGCTCTTTGGGGTCTCCTTCCTTTTCATATGCAATTGTAAAGTAGTTTTCCATTTCATTAATGAATGCTGCTGTGATCACATTATCCTATAGATCACTTTTAGTAGTATTTAATATTTTCACAATGTTTAGTCTTTTAATCCATGTGCATGAAATGCGTTCCCATTTATGTAGATCTCTTTCAGTTTCTTGTTGTTGTTGTTAAGTGCCATCGAGTAGAGTCTGACCCATAGCAATCCTGTATAGGGTTTCCGAGGAGCAGCTGGTAAGCTTGAACCGCTTAGTTTCTTGTAGTAGTGTTTTATATTTTCTTTGTATAAGTCTTTTACGTCTCTGGTTAGATCTATTTCTAGATATTTTATTCTTTGGGTGTTATTGTAAATGGTACTGATTTCTTGATTTCCTTTTCAGAGTTCCCTTGTTGGAGGAACCCAACTGATTTTTGTGAATCACTTTGCTGAATCATTCTATTAATTCCAGTAACTTCCTTATGGAGTCTCTGGGATCATGTCATCTACAAAAAAAAAAGTTTTACTTCTTCCTTTCTTATTTGGATTCACTTTATTTCCTTTCTTGTCTTGTTGTTCTAGCCAGAACTTTCAGAACTATGTTAAATAACAGTGGCGATAAAAAGCTTCCTTAACTTGTTCGTATTCTCTAAGGGGAATTCTCTCAATCCTCCTCTATTGAGAGTAATGTTGGCTGTTGGTTTTGTATACATGACTTTAATTATGTTGAGGACTTTCCCTTCTTTTCCTATTTTGCTGAGTTTTTATTAGGAAAGGGTGTGATTTCATCAAATGCCTTTTTTGGGCATCTATTACGATGCTCATGTATTTCTTTACCTTTGTTTTAGTTATGTGTAGAATTACACTGATTGGTTTTCTATTATTGAACTATCCCTGTATTCCAAGTATGACTTCCATTGATCATGATATATTATTTTTTTGATAAGCTGTTGAATTCAGTTAGCTAGAATTTTGTTGAGAAATTTTACATTATATCCATGTAAAGTAGTCATGAAGATATACTGGTCTGTATTTTTCTTTTCTGATGGTGTCTTAGACTGGCATTGTATCCGGGTTATGCTGGTTTCATGAATTAGGGATATTCCTTCTTCCCTATGTTCTGAAACAGTTTGATTAGAACTGGTTCTCTGAATGTTTGGTAGGATTCTCTAATAAGACCATGACTTTTTTTTTTTTTTTTGGCTGGGAGGTTGTTTTTTTCCCAATGACATCTTCAATTTCTTCTTTTGTTATGAATCAGCTCAAATTTTCTGCCTCTATTTGTGTTAGTTTAGGTAAGTGGTATGTTTCTAGAATTTGTCTGTTTCGTCTTGGTTTTCAAATTTATTGGAGTATAATTTTTCATAGTATTCTGTTATGATACTTTTTAATCTTGATTGGTTCTGTAGTCACCCATCTCATTTCTTATTTTGGTTATTTGTATCTTCTTATTTCCTTTGTCAGCTTTGCCAGTGGTTGGCCAACTTTGTTGACCCTTTCAAAGAGTCAACTTCTGGCCTTATTGATTTTTAAAAAAATTATTTTTCTGTTTTCTATTTTTTTGAGTTCTTCTCTAATCTTTAACTGTTTTCTTTTTTCTGGCAACTGTGAACTTCTTTTGAACCTTCTATTTATTTGAGTTGTCAAGGAAAGCTATTAATTTGGCACTTTCTTCTTTTCTGATATGTTTATTTATTGTTATAAATTCTCTTCTGAGCACTGCTTTTGTGGTGCCCCAAAGGATTTATTATATGGTACTTTTATTCTTATTTGATTCTAAGAAATTTTAATTCTTCTATTACTCAATAGTTTCTTAGTAAGATGTTATTCAGTTTCCATGTGTTTTTACCCCTTGTTCTTTCAGTTAGTTATTGAGTTCTAGTTTTATACCATTACAAGCAGAGAAGATGCTTTGTATTATATTTCAATGTTTTTGAATTTATTGAGGCTCATTTTGTGGCCTCACCTATGGTTCATTCTGGAGAATTTCCCATTTCGTATGGCACAGTCGTCTGCATCGTTTATCATGCTAAAGCCTTGTGGCCATTTGTGTTACCACCGCTTTTCCCTTGGCTCCATAATCAATCTATTTCCAAACTCTATCAAATCTGCTTTCAAAGTATTTTAAACTCTGTATCCTTCTCTGTGTCTTCAATTTTACCCTTTTAAACCAAATAGCCATGTTGATTAGCAATATCTGTCTACTTTTTCACTGTGATGAATGCCTTGCTAATCCCTTCTCCACAGCAATGGACAGTACACTTTTCACAATAGAATTAGTATAAGGTCATTTGCTGCTTAAGACCTTTAACTGCTTCCCACTGTACAAAGGACAACATTGAACATCTTTAACATGACCTACAAAGCTCGGAATTATGTAACACCTGCTGCTTCTCTCTACGGCTCCTCTTACACCACTGTCCCTGTACCCTTAACTTGTTCCAATGTTCTTGGTCCCCCTGCTGTCAATGTCTTCTGTGTCTTTGCACTTGCTAATCTCCTTTGCTTTCAACATTATTCCTCTATTTGTCATGTGGCTAACTCCAACTCATCCTTCAGGCTTCAGCTTAAATGTGACTTTCACAAAGACCTTTCTTCACTCCTCAGTCTAAATTAGGACCTCTGCTCTCTCATAGCAGCTGTACCTTTTCTTTGTAGTATTATCACAACTTTTAATCAATATATTTATTTATGGGCTATTTACCTATAGCTGTCATCCACATTAGCCTATAGATTCCATTAGGGAAAAGACTGCTTGTTTTATTTATCACCCAACACCTAACACACAGGAGATACTTTTAAAAATGTTTGATGAATGTGTGAATGTTTATAAATCTGTAGATAATCAAGTATGCTAGCCCTACACATAAACAATGCTTTTCAGGACATTATATTAGACCCTGGTCTTACTAAACATTTTCTCCCCACTCATATGGCTTCAATCATCACCTCTTTGTTGATTAATTCCACATTTGAACCTCAGTCCATGTTTTTGTTAGTTGCTGTCAAATCGATTCTGACTCATGGCAACCCCACATGTGCAAAGTACAACAGTGCTCCATAGAATTTTTAAGGCCTTGACCTATCAAAAAGAGATTCGCAAGCCTGTCTTCCAAGGGCCTCTGCGGGGGTTTGAACCACCAGAGGGCTTACCCATCTGTGCCACCCAGGAACTCCATCTCAGCCCATATTTCTTTTGGCTTCAGATCTCTGTATCTAACTGCCTACTTGATACTTTTACTTGAATGTGCCATGGGTGTATGAAACAACAAGTCCCAAAGGAAATGTATCATCTTCTCCCCCACAAACCTTCTCCACCTTGAGTGTTCTGTATCTCAGGACAGAGCATGGGCACTACCTGCCAGAGCACTTAACTAAAACCTTGAAAGTCATTGTTGACTTCTCCTTCTCCCTCATTCCCTTTATCAAAGTATAAACCTAGACCTATTGATTCTACATCTTAAGTATCTCCAAATCTTTCTACTTTGCTTATGCCTAGAGTCATCTCCTCAGCCCAGCTACCCTACGTTTCTCTTCTTTTTCTGCACTAGCCTTCCACTGGTTTTGCAGCTCCCACTCTTGCTCAACCTGGTCCCTATTTTGCAACCAAAGGATCTTTGAAAAATTCAAATCTCCTATTACATCCCTGCTTATAGCCCTCCAATGGCATCCTGCATGCTAATAATATCTAAAACAAGCTACAGCATCCTACGTGTTCTAAATTTGGCCATCCTCTCCAGCCTCATCTCACACCTTCTTTCCTTCGCTGGTGAGCCGTCAGCACATATTGAAATTCTTTTTGTTTCTCAGATGTACTATGCTTTTTCCTGGCTTAGAGCATTTGCAGATGCTGAAATGCTTCTTGGCCTCCCATTTTCAGCTACCTAATTTCTATTCCTCCTTCAGGTCATAGCTTAAATATTACTAGCACTAAAATTCCTTACTCTTAGGCCAGGTTAGGTCTTCCTATTATAACATCAGATAGGTCTCCTGCAATTTTTTGTAACACCCACTGGATTGATATGACTTGGATCATATCAGTGGAGCTCATGACACCACACACATGTGATAAGACTTTATCATTGGTGTCTGTTTGGTGCTGTGAGTTCCATGAAGGTAGAAACCATGTCTGTCTCCTTTCTCTTGTAGCCCTGAATCTTGTACCTTGTTTAGTTCACAGTAGGCACTGAATGAATATATGAATATGTGTGGAATGAGCAAATTAATGGATGATTCTGCCACTGGAAATGTTTTCCTCATCTATTTGTTGGCTATGTTTACTTTATATTCTTTGAGCTTATGTCTTTAGTGCATTGTTCTTTTGGGAGCTTAGTGTCTTTCTTAACAATCTAGCTGAGCCTTTTATATAGTATCAATATTAACTCTGTCATATTTAACCAATGTTTTCCCCAATTGGCTGTTTGTTTTCCTTACCTTTTGAGAAGCACTTTTACTGCCTCCAAACACCCATGCATTGCTAGGAGAAGAAAGTTGAGAATTAGAGCATTTTAGTGCCAAGTGAGGTGCTTCTTACCTCCTGGATCCTCTCTCTGCCCCATTCCTTTGGTTATGCGTTACAAGAAGGAATAATTAAATTAGGTACACTATTACTACCCTAGAAAAATAAAAATTTAGCTGGCTAAGGACTAAAGAATGATACTTTCATTTTACGTGCACATAGCCAATACTCCATTATCATCTTATCTTTATGACCACTTTCCCGGCAAATTTTCAATCCTAAACTTATCTCCCTATTTTTGTGTCGCAAATCCTAAAGCCAGTCAGTTTTGCCCAGGAAATGCAAAACATTTTAATAGTAATACATGACAAAATCACCAGGAATTTAAGGTTGTTGTGGTTGCTTTGTGCAGTCGAGTTGGTTCTGACTCATAGCAACCCTGTATAGTGTTTCTGAGAGGGGCAGGTGGGTCTGAACAAAAGACCTTTCCATTAACAAAAGTCCCATGCGTTCTACAGTATTCACTATACATACTAAAAAAGTGGGTTGTTGTTTGTTGTTAAGTGCCATTGAGTCAGTTCTGACCCATAGTGACCCTGTATAGGGCTTCCGAGGAGTGGCTGGTGAGCTTGAATCACAGACCTTATGGTCCAACCAACGTTGCAGCCCAGTACATTATCCTACAGCATCACACACTAGGACTGTATTCAACTAAAAAACACTTTGACTATCTGTTCTCCACAAGTAGGTATGAATAACTAGGTGCTGTGGGGAACTGTTAATAGAGAAAAATTTTTTCACTTACTTGTGAAGTTTTGAAAAGGGTTTCCTGGGTCCTTAACTTTCAACTATGGCTAGAGAATGATTTATGCGTATTTCCTAGACTATCTCATTTCATAGCTGTTGATTTTTAGAGGAACTAAAAGGACTATGTCCTAATTCAATGTACTACCCAAAAGGTTACAGGTTGTTTACCTAAATTTACTAAGTTTATTGATTTGGACTCTTGAGCTCCTTAATCCCATTAGTATATATATATATGTGCGGAGCATGGTGGCTCTATAGGATAAGTACTGGACTGCTAACCATGAGGTTGGCAGTTCAACCCCACCACCTATTCTGTGGGAGAGTGATGAGGCTTTCTGCTCCCACAAGATTTATAACCTCGGAAATCCTATGCATGGTCACTAAGAGTTGGAAATGACTCAGTGGCACTTAACAATAACAATAGCATATATCGACGACACTTAGTAACAACAATATATGCAGTATCAATAAATATATATAGATTTCCTTTTTGGTAATTTCCTGGGGTGGATTCATGTTTGAAAGGTATCTAGGGGTCATAGTCTCAAGGTTCTGCCAGTCTCTATCAGTCCAGTAAGTCTAGTCTTTTCTGTAATTTCTAATTTTGTTATGCATTTTCCAGGACCTTCTATTGTGATCCTGATCAGAGTGGTTCAGTAGTGGTAACTGGACACCATCTAGTTCTTCTGGTCTTATGGTTGTGGAGACTGTGTTTTTCATGATCCATTAGTTCTTTAGACTAATTGTTTCCTTGAGTTTCGTTTTCTCCACTCTTCTTTGCTCCAGACAGGAAGAGACCAATAGTTACATCCTAGATGGCTACTTGCAAACTTTCAAGATCCCAGTTGCTATGCACCAAAGTGGGATGTAACATAGTGTCTTTGTGGACTATGTTATGCCAATTGTCCCCAGAGAAGATGATCCTAAGCCCCCAGCCCAGTGACTCATTCCATCAAAGTGTTTGGTTATAACCTCAATTAATATCTTAAGTCACAGCAACTTTGCTTTTGGTTAAAGTTATCTATAAATAGAGTTCAGAGTCAGGATAACTGTTTCAAAGACTGAAAACTGAACCCTAAATTTATATTTGACATTACCACTGCTGTTGTTGTGTGCTATTGAGCTGATTATGGCTCATAATGACCCTATAGAACTACCTTATATTACTTCCAAGGCTGTAATCTTTATGGAAAGATTGCATATCTTTCTCTTAAGGTGCAGCTGGTAGGTTCAAACCACTGACCTTTCAGTTAACAGCTGAGTTCTTAACCATTGCACCATGCAGGCTCCTCAGGCACAGATATTTCATTATAAGCCTGGTGTGGTGCTGTGCTGTAGGATAAGCACTGGACCGCCAACCACAATGCAGAAAGGGTGACTTGGACTAGATGATGCTCTGAGGTGCTGGATGAAGCCTACTGCATGTTTGTATCTGCAGATCTGTGGGCCATACCTGCAGTGTGCAGAGGAGTTCTTCTAATTTTGCTCTCTGTCTTCCAGGCAGCTGGGGAGACAGAGAGCAAGTACTGGAGGATGAAAGGGTCACCTTCTCGGCTGGCAATGTGGAAGCTGTTCCAACCATCTTTGTTCTTCAGAAGTGGATTGGCACCATGTTCCACAAGGTCTTGGATTACCTCAAGATTCTTCCTTGTACACGCCATCATTAAAGGAGTCCTAAAGCCAACCAAAACAAGCTGTCAGATGGAGGGGACAGCTGAGACATTTCAAATGAGGGGCAGGGTCTTCAGAAAATGCATACCTTAGTATAGACAGAAAACCTAGAGGATTCAGGATCTAGTAGGCAAGGAAACAGCTCTGACTGGCAACATCTCTGCCTGCCATGAGCTTTCTGGAAGAAAGAGCAAGGGGGAAATGATTGTGACATATGTGTACCCATAAGAGTGGAGTACTTGGAGGCAAAGCTGTTTCTCAGCTAGCTTGTAGTATAGTACTGAAGTGAGAAAGGGCTAATAAAAACCATACACATTTGGCCCTGAATAATGATTGCATAAGAGATATTCTGGAACTTTTCCCATTCACTTCAATTAGTGTCCATTTATTAAATTATGCTGACGCATGAGCACACTCATGTTCATTGCAGCATTATTCATAATAGCAAAAAGATTATTCATAATAGCAAAAAGATGAAAACAACCCACATGTCTCTCAACGGGTGAATGGATAAACGAAGTGCAGTGCATACATACAATCCAATAATAAAGAAAATGATGACTGAAAAATCTCTTATAGAATGAATGAATCTGGAAGACATTATGCTGAATGAAATAAGTCAATCACACAAAAGGGCAAATACTGTATGCTCTAATTTTTATGAAAAGCCAAGAATAAGTTTTGGAACAACAGTGCTCTGCAGACAGACACACAGGCTGAGCGGCTATGGGAGGAAGAGTAGGAGCATACCCACAAGTATATAAGAGTTTGGAAGAGGATATTTGTACATGAGTATTTACCTTTCCTGAAAATAGAACTATGAATGTGGTGGAGCATACAGTGGGAAAATAACAAAAACTAGATATTATCAAACATCTTAAGGCAATGAGTTACTGAGCCTGGGGGCTCAGGACCATAGTCTCAGGGAACACCAGGGTCAAATGACATAACATAACCCTCACAGACAATGTTCAACATTTTACTTTGGTGAGTAGTGTCTAGGATCTTAAAAGTTCATAAGTGGACATCTAAGGTGCAGCTGTTGGTCTCTTCATGTGTGGAAGAAAGAAGAGTAATAAGAATTGAATGTGCTTAGAATAAATTAGTCCACTGGACTAAAGGAACATGTGAACATCAGTCTTAGATGACAACTTGCAAAATTTTAAAGACCCCAGATGCTACTCACCAAACTAGAATGTAGAGCATTATCTTTATGAACTGTGTTATGACAATTGATTTAGACGTCAAGGATTATGGTCCTTAGCCTTCAAGCCCAGTAATTGAGTCCTGTGATGTGTTTGGATAGGTCTTAGAAGTTTCTGTGACTATATCCCCTCTGTGTTTTGTTATATGAGGGTAAGTCAAAAAGTATTGATATAAAATCATAATTATTTATAAAAATTATGTAAATATCATTAAACAAAAATATCAGAATATTGTTGCTTTACATATTCTCCACAATGTTGGTAGTTCAAAGCCATCAGCCATTCCCAGAAACCCTGCACAGGGTTGTTGTGAGTCAGAACCGACTTGACGACACTTAACAACAACAGCAACCCTTCCCCAGGCTCTCAGCTCCAACAAAGATGTTCAGCCTTGGAAACCCTATGCAGGGTCACTACGAATCAGAACTAACTCAATGGCACTTAACCAGAACAACAATGACCCTTCCCCAAAGAATTCCGTACTTTTTGTTTTATTTAAACTCCAGTGCAGCAACAAATTTGAGATTGGTGCAGGAGCAGGCAGTGTTTCGTTCACAAGGTCAGTGGTTCAGACTCACCAGCTGATCCTTGAAAACCCTATACAGGGTCGCTATGAGTTGGAAATAACTCAATGGCACTTAACAACAACAACAAATGAGACTAAGGAACCCTGGCGTGGCACTGTAGGATAAGCACTGTTTCCACAGCCTCTTCTGAATCCAGCTTGAATCTCTGGAAGTTCTCTGTCAATGTATGATTGTAGTCATTTCTGTATTACCTTTAGCAAAACTATACTTGCATGGGATAGCAAAGAGATTGTCCGATGATTTCCACATTCTGTTGGGTCATCTCTCTTTGGAATGGGCACAAATATGGATCTCTTCCAATCAGTCGGCCAGATAGTCGTCTTCCAAATTTCTTGGCAGAGATGAGTGAGTGCCTCCTGTGCCGCCTCACTTTCCTGAAAGATTTCAATTTGTATTCCATCAATTCCTGGTGCTTTGTTCTTTGCCACTTTTTTCAATGCACTTTGGACTTCCTCTCTGAGTATCATTGGCTCTTGTTCATATGGTATCTCTTGAAATGGTTGAACATTTACCATTTCCTTTTGGTACAATGACTCTGTGTATTCCTTCCATCTTTTCTTGATGCATTCTGCATCATTCAATAATTTTCCCAGTGAATCTTTCAATAACGAAAGTCGAGGCTTGAATTTTTTCTTCAGTTCCTCCAGCTTGAGAAATGCTCATTACAGTGTTCCGTTCTGTTGTGCACAGAGTCGCTATAACTCTGTACCAACTCAATGGCACCTAACAGTAACAACAGCAAACGAGACTGGGAGTCCTGGTACAGTGCTTAGGATAAGTGCAGAGCCACAGATAGCTCCTGGGATCTTCTAAGCTCATAAGTGCCACCTAAAGCGCAACTATTGGTTTCTCCCAGTGCGGGGAAAGGAGCGATGAAAATTGAAGTGGTTGGACTCAATGAATCCAGTGGACAAATGGGACATGTGAACACCGGTTTCCACAACCCTGAGCTCAGAAGAACTAGATGGTGCTTGGCTATCGCTATCAACTATTCTGAAAAGGAATCACATTAGAATGTCCTGGATAGGGAAGAAGAAAAATGTGGACCCAAACTCAAAATTATATATATATATACCAGTCTTATTGGTCAGAAAGAGACTGGAGGAACGGAGACTATGGAACTTGATCACCCTTCAGATCTGGAACAACTCAGCCTCATGGCTCAATTTGTAGCCATGTGATAGGCAGGTTGGTATATGGGGACAACACTAGTAAAGCATGTTCACCATGGAATGGTTAACCATTCAAGATTAAAAGGGCAGCATTTATCTAAGGACGAAGTTCAGGAAGGTTGGAAAGGAAGGGTGGAATGGAAATAAAAATCTCAAGGAGTAGACTGCAATCACTGAAATGAAATAGAATGTATGATTTGTTGGAAGTAAAACTGATGATCTTCTCTGTAAATCTTTACTCAATTTTCAACTTTTTATTGTGATTTGAATGAAAGTTTATAAAGCCAACTAGTTTGTCATTCAACAGTTCATGCTCTTTTGTGACACTGATTGTTGTCCCCACAATGGAGCAGCATTCTTCCCACTTCCTCCCTGTGTGTAACCGTTTCCATTCATCCCTCTTTCTTATGCCTTCTGAGTTTTATTCCTGGGCAAATACTGTCCTTTTGATCGTATATGGTTGATTTCTCTAAGGAGTGGTACCTCCTCCCTGGGGTTGTTGGTCACCCTCTAGACTTGTCCATTATTTGATTGAAAGTTGAACACAGAGCTGAGTTCAGTTCCAGGTCTGAAGAGGGGCTAAGAGTCATAGTCTCAGGGGTTTCACCAGTTTCCATCAGACTAGTAAGCCTGTTGTTGTTGTTGTGATTTTGAGTTTTGTTCTACTTTTTTCTACCACTCTATCTTGGATCTCCGATTGTGATTCCTTTCAGAGTGCCCAGCAGTGGTAGCTGGACACCATGTAGTTCTTCTGGTCTCAGGATCATGGAGGCTGAGGTTGGTGTGGTTTCAGTGAGGATTTGGGGGCTGTTTCCATATATCTTTAATTTTATTCACCCTTGTTTGCTCTGGATGGGAGAGACAAGTAATTGCTCCTTGTAGGGCCTCTCACTAGCTTTTAAAACTCAAGTTGTTACTCACCAAAGCATGATGTAGAACCTTGTCTTTGTGGACTACGTTATGCCAACTGACCTTGGTATCCCCCCCAATTATGGATCTCAAACTACCAATCTTTAGGTTAGTAGTTGAATGCAAGCCATTTAAGTCACCCATGGGCCCCACGGTAATGACAGTGAACGATAGATGTATTAGGAGGGAGAAACCCAGATAAATTGAGGGCTGGAATATTCAGGAAAGGCTTCACAGAGAGAATGACTCTTAAGTAAAGCAGGATACTTGGAAAAATAGGGAAGAAGATAGTTCATAAAGACAGAAAGGTGGGAATAAGCAAAATGTATCACTATGTCTATTTCCCCAAGCAAACAAAGGAAGCATGTCCTTGTAATGCATTTCTTTGTGAGGATATTATCAACAGTTGTTTTGAGGAATGTAAACCAGAGAGCCGAACCCAGTACCATGAGTGGATTCTGACTCATTGCAAACCTATAGAAGGTTTCTGAGGCTGGAAGTACTTTTGAGGGAAGACTCATCTTTCTCCTGGTGGGTTTGAACTGCCTTGATATGACTCTTCTAAACATAGTTTTTGTGTCTCATCAACTGACTGGGTCCACTAAAAAACCCACTGTCACTGAGTCAATTCTGACTCATAGTGACTCCAGAGCACAGAATAAATTGTTCCTTAGAGTTTCAGAGGCTGTAAATCTTTACAGGAGTAGAAAGCCTCATCTTTCTTTTGCTGTGTGGTTGGTTACCAGCTTAACATGTAATCCATTACACAACCAGCAATCTTAAATGACTGGGGGGTGGTGGTGGTGGTTATGTGCTGTTGAGTTGGTTCTGACTCACAGCGACCCTGTGCAGGGTTTCTGAGGCTGTAAATCTTTACGGGAGCAAAAAGCCTCATCTTTCTCCTGCGGAACAGCTGGTAGTTTTAAACTGCTGACCAATTCGTAACCACTACACTACCAGAGCTCCTTAAATGACTGGGTATTGTTGTTGTTATGTGCCGTGGAGTCGGTTCCAACTCATAGCGACCCTGTACAGGGTTTCCGAGGCTGTAAATCTTTACAGGAGCAGAAAGCCCCATCTTTCTCCCGCGGAACAGCTGGTAGTTTCAAACTGCTGACCTTACGGCTCGCAGCCCAATTTGTAACCACTACGTTACCAAATGACTGGGTAGGACTATGTAAATGTGAGGTGCTTGTGGTCCACCATGGGGATAGGTCCGCTTGCTAATCATATCAATAAGGTACATGACACGCTTGTCAAGTGGGACCATACAAATGAGGTATATGGAACTCTAAGGTAGGGATCGGTTGGTTTGCTGTCTCATTAGATTTAAAATGAGCCAGATGCAGAAGCCTCTTTCTTCATCAAGAAAGAGGAGGAGCCAGGAATGGAGTATGACCTGAGATCCCAGGGCAGAACCTTGTAGATCTAGGAGACAGAGAGCTGTGGCACCAGTGACAATGTGAGACGATGAGAAGCAGTGGCTAAGAAGCAGCAGAACCAGGAGACTGGCAGGATAGGCACAGTGGCCTTCCCAGTCCACAAGCAAGAAAGCTGAGTGCCTTCAGGCAGAGTAGGGCGTCTTAGAGCACTTTGTTGTTGTTAAGTGCCTTTGAGGCAGTCCAAACTCAGTAACCAGCAGAATTCAAAGACTTTGCAACATTTGCCAGAGCAGGGCAGGGGCCAGGCAGAGGGACCAAGGACAGGAGAGAGGTGTGCCTGCGGGCATGGCTAAAAAGTGGCTGTCATAATCAAAGAACTGTATCCTGAGAGTTTCTGATCCTGGATTGTTTCTGTGTGGCAAAGGAATGATCAAACCTATAAAGAGTGTTGTGGGACGGACAACTGGTGTTGGAACTGATAAAGGAAGTTGAAGGGTGGAAGCATATCTGATCTCTACCTCATAGGAATTGGCCTTGAATTGGTGATGCCAATAGTTATTCTCCTCCTCCACTCTGGTGAAGTTAGTAGAGATTAGATGACACTACCCCAAGACATTTTTACAAGGAGTATATGAGATAATGGGGTCTTGGTGTGGCACTGTAAGATATGCACTGGACTGCTAACTGCAGGGTCATCTGATCAAACCCATCAGCAGCTCCTCGGAGACCCTATACAGGGTTGCTATGAGTTAGGACTGATTCAACAATACTTAACAACAACAACATTGAGACCGTATGTTTCTTGGAACGGTTTAAACAAATTTACCAACAGCACAAGAATATGTGTCTTATGCTTAGTTGTAGAATTTCTTATGGGTCAACTTCCAACTCCCAAAACATAATATCTATTTCCTCTCCCAAGTGGACCAGATGGGCTTTATTTAACTACATGTCTGTTTGCAATGTTTGTTTAGATCAGGTCATGAATCATTTGTAGGCAGGAACTTTATTATGTTATGGACCATAAGATGTTCATAACCTCTATGGAGCCCGACAGAGTACTAAAAATGATGCTAGTCTAACAAGCAACATGCATTTGGTTTTTGGTGTTGTGTATCTTGACTGTGGTGGGAGTTATGTAAAGATGTCACTTAAAGGACTAAGGTGCTCTTGACCCAAGACACGATATTTTCATACGAATGCAAATGCTGGACAATGAAAAAGGAAGACCAAAGAAGAACTGATGCTTTTGAATTATGGTGTTGGTGAAAATATTAAATATACTGTAGACTGCCAGAAGAACAAACAAATCTGTCTGGGAAGAAGTAAAGCCAGGATGTTCCTTAGAAGCCATGGTGGTGAGACTTTGTCTCATACACTTCGGTCATGTTATCAGAAAGGACCAGTTCCTGGAAAAGAACATCATGCATGGTACCGTAGAGTCAGTGAAAATGAGGAAAGCCCTCAGCAAGACACACTGACACAGTGGCTGCCAACAGTGGCCCAAACACAATTGTGAAGACTGCGCAAGACCTGGCAGTGTTTTGTTCTGTTGTGCATAGGGTCACTATGAGCCAGAACCAACTCGACAGCACCTGACAACACAATACACCTACAATAAAATTGCATAGAGCTATTCACACACAAATGAACCTATAACTGGTGAAATCTGAATAAGTTCTATGGATTGAACCAATTCTGATTTTTTGATTTTGTTATTGTGCTATGGTTATGCAAAATGTTAACACTGAGGGACATTGGGGGAAGGGTGTTACTGACCATTTCTTTGTAACCTTCTATAAACTCTCCTAATTACTTCAAAATCAAAAGTATAAAAATGGAACTGGTGAGGTAGTAATTAGCTGGGTGGCCCCAGAAGAACACCACATCCTGGAATTCATACCATGTGTAAATAAACATCACTCACTGTTTGATTATATTCCATCTGCTAATGCTCTGTGCCGTTTGGAAGGAACTGATAGCCCTGATCAGAAGTTAATACTGTTGTTGTTGTTAAGTACCATCAGTAGATTCCGACCCATAGCAACCCTGTGTAGGGTTTCCAAGGAGCAGCTCGTGAGCTTGAACCACCGACCTTGCAGTTCAAACGACTTTGCAGTGTGATGCATTAGCTTACAGCGCTACACCAGGACTCCAAAGTTAACCCTACAAGAATAGAAACAATGCAAGTCGTGTCATCTCCAGGGAAACGCTGGGGCAAGATGATCCTGCCACTGAGCAGGTCTGAAGTGAGACCTAGGAGTTGAGGAAAGATGTTGGAGAATGGGGCAAAATAGGAGTACTCGAAAACCTTTGGTTCTACAATGGAGCTTTCTGGAAAACATGCCACCTACCAATCCGCTTTCTTCAAGCAGTCTACAGCAGCTCCTCTGCGTAGCAGATACCGCACGCAGTCCCTGTGGCCCATGGAGGCAGCTTCGTGCAGAGGTCGCTTGTAGTCTTGATTGGTGGCCTCGATGTCCATCTCCCAGACCTCAGCTAGATAGGCCAGAATGTCCCGATGCCCATGGCGAGTTGCGCAGTGCAGGAGAGTGTCCCCGGCTGGACCCGGACATCTCACAGCTGGCCTTCCCATTCTCTGTAGCTCCTCCTGCAGGGCTCGCAGCTGGCCTTCTTGCACTAGCTTGCAGAGCCGTTTCTGATCCTGCTTAAGCACCTGCACCCTAGCTGCGTCCACCTTGCAATTCCGGGGGGTGGCCATGGCAACCCGACCAGTGAACGCCCAGACCAGATCTGGAAAAGCGCGTGGGGCAGCTGGCAGAGCGAACACGCCTCCGAGTTCCTTCTCCCTCCCTGCAGGATAGGGATTGCTGCTAATTCAGGTCGGTCTCCGCAAACAGAGCAGGCGTGAGAAGAAGGGAGAAGGCCAATTATCCGTGGGTGTTGTATCTGAGAAAGTGCCGGGGTCTCGGCTTCTCCCGGAGACACAGACACTCGCTCTCTCTCGAGCTCCGCTTCCGCTTCCTGCACGTGATTGCTTCTCCGTGATGACGGAGAACTAACCCTGGATCCTGTTCAGAGAACCAGCTGCTGTCTGGGTTTTGTTCCGCTGAGCACGGCCAGTCTTCGAGCGATTGATTGACTCAATATCCTAACATGAGACACCACACTTCACACCCCTCTCCCCACCTGACCTGTTTCTGATGACAGAAAACACTGTTTCTTAATGTATGAGAATAATTCTTAGCGAGTTGCCAATCTAATGTGCCAAGTGCACACACATACAGTAATTGTTCATATAGAATAACATCGATGGGATGGGTCTAAGAGGATGCATTTCTTGGGGGTGGTGTACGCGTGTTTATAAGTTTGATTATCTTTGGTTAAACACATTAATGAGGGTTTTGTTGGCTAGATGACGAAGAAGTAAAATAGTATGAAAGGTTCCAAGGGTAGTGGGCCCGCCTACGCTTCTGGGCCCTGCATACACATTATGAGATTACGAGAGCTCAGTGTTTAGCATACAGTCCATGGATCGCCTCTGTATTAATGCAGTAGTAGGATATGCACTGGACTTCTAAGAGAAAGGTGGGTGGTTTAAATCCACTAGCTGTTCTTGGAAACCCTATACAGGGTAGCTATGAGTTGGAAGCAACTCAAAGGATCTTAACAACACTTTTAAAGTGCCTTCGCATATCGGCGTTAATCCTCAAAACAGCCAAAAAAGAGAAATGGTTATTGTTATGATTCTGTCCGTTTCCAATAAAGGAAGCTGAGACCCAGAGAGGCACCGGGCTTGTACCAGCCTTGGTAGCGGTGGTTATGTACCGTGGAGTGGGTTCCGACTCAAAGCAACCCTGTACAGGGTTTCCGAGCCTGTAAAGGAGCAGAAAGCCTTATCTTTCTCACGCGGAACAGCTGGTCGTTTCGAACTGCTGACCTTGAGGTCTACCAGAGCTCCTTAGAGATAATTAATTTTTTTCCGATGGCAAATTCCACCTATGTTCTTTCTCCTGAAAATTACCTGCACAGATATTTGTTGAAGGAGTAAATTAATGGTACCGCTGCAGTCCCTCATCACTTCCAGAGCCACCCCAATCCATACACTTATCCCCATGTAGCTGTCGGGGACCCTTCTCAATAACAAGGTAGCACCATGGCGCAGTTCCATGCATTTCCCTGCAACTCCCCCTTACACATCCAATCCAAATCCAGCCCACCCACTCCTTTGCCTGTCACAGCCCCTCCGAGGGGGCCCAATGAGCTCAAAGGAACTCTGGGAAAGTTTCAACTCGTTTCCTTCGCCACAGAGAATCACGAACAGGGCGTGGCCAGTTAGTGGGTGGACACGCCCATCCGGACGACCGTTCCAATTGGCCGCAGAAGCAGTCGGTCAGCTCTAGCGGTGGGCTCTTCCCGGGGCTGAGGCGCGGGGCGGAGCTCGCGGAGGAAGTCAGCGGAATTCTCGGAGCTCAAGGTCCGGGCCACTGGAGGAGCTCGCACTGCCTGGGGTCGCTAGGACCGGGAGGAGGCTGGGAGGCCCCAGCCCCAGCAGCTACGGCGGCAGCGGGGTCAACGGCGGTAGGAGCCCTAGTCCGGAACGCCATAGTGCGTGAGGCCACAGACGTGGCAGAGAGTGCGGGCGGGGCTCTGCTGTGGGACACTTAACCTTTGGGGGTCCTGAGTGGGGGGTCCCGGCTTCAGTGGGGGGTTGTGGGGACGTGCGGGCCCTGGATTGAGCGTGGGTGTTGAAAGGGGATCTCTCAGCTGTGGGCGAGGTGTAGGGGTGCTGTGGGTGTGCATCCAGGAGGCCCGAGGGAGCGCTGAAGTCAGCTGGGGCCACAGCCCTGCACTCCTGTCTGCTTCCCGAGGTCCAGGAAGGGGCCAGCGTGTAGTTTTGGAGTTGAGGAGACATGGCGTTGGCTACTGGTAGACCAGGATTCTGATTTCTGCTCTGATGTTTTGACCTTGGGCAAGTCATTTTATTCTGCCCTTTTGTCCATCTTCCATATGTATCCTCCCTCATCCCTACCTGAATATCAAAAACATTAAGGTGATATGGTAAAGCCTTCAACTTTAGGAGGGGACTTTGAGATCTGAACAAGCTGTAGGAGGTAATGGAAAAGAACACTGTTGTAGGTGTTAGGTTCTTTACGCTACCTAACGAGTCATTAAACTCCTTGCTGTTTTCAGTTTCATTAGTGATAAAATGAGGAGGCTAAGCGAAAGAGAAGACCCTCAATGACATAGATTGACACAGCTGATGCAACAATGTGCTCAAACATAATTGTGAGAATAATGCTGGACTGGGCAGTGTTTTCCTTCTGTTGTACATATGAGCTGGAACTGACTCGATGACACCTAACAACAGGGTTAGAATGAAAGTTACCAATATTTGCCAAGCTTAAAAGCAGTTAGGAAGGAGTGATGTGGCTCTGTAAAATAAGCACTGGACTGATAACCACAAGGTCAGTATTTGGAGCCCACCAGGGGCAGCATCGACGGACTCAAGCTTGGCAACAGTAGTAAGGTTGGCCCAGGATCGCGCAGTGTTTCATTCTACTGTGCATAAAGTCACTATGAGTCAGTACTGACTCGATGGCAGCTAACAACAAGTTGCTCCTCTGTAGAAAGATGAGGCTTTCTGCTCCCACAAAGATTTACAGGGTCGATGTGAGTTGAAACCAGTTCAACAACACTTAACAACAAAAATTATGCTTTACATTTTGTATTGTGTGATCTATGGTTTGTTGTTAAGTGCTATCAGTTCTGACTCATAGGGACCCTGTATAGAAAGGGTTTCCAAGGATCCTAGTGAGTTTGAACCACTGATCTTGTGATTAGCAGTCCAGTGTTTATCTTACAGCACCACACCAACACTATAGTTTGTAGAGTTCTTAATATTTGTTTTCTAATCTGAAAATTCTGGTTTTACATATGGGGAAATTAACACCTAAAGAAGCTAGAGATTTTCCTATGGAAGTGTAGGTAATAAAGTCCTCTGCAAGGAAGAATAGTAAAATCTTTGGAGTGTCTGCTAGTGTTTTGCTTTGCTAAAATAAATCGTTAGGTGTCATCAAGTTGATTCCGACTCATAGAGACCCTGTGTAGGCTTTGCAAGGCTGTAAATCTTTACAGACACAGAAAGCCTCATCTTAATACCAGCATTGTGGTTAGCAGTCCAATAATTATCCTACAGTGCCACCAGCACTCCTAAAATAAACTGTTGTTGTTGTTGTTGTTGTTGTTAAGTGCCATCGAGTCGGGTCCGACCCATAGCGACCCTGTACAGGGTTTCCGAGGGTGTAAATCTTTACGGGAGTAGAAAGCCTCATCTTTCTCCCGTGGAGCGACTGGTAGTTTCGAACCGCTAACCTTAAGGTTCGCAGCCCGATTCGTAACCACTACGCTAAGATAAAATGAAAAAAGTAGGTTTGAGCTAAGGAGGTAAGTCCATTTTACTGATGAGCAGATTGAGTTTGGTTAACTTGCTGAGTTAATGTGGAGACAGAATAGATCAAAATATCAGCTTTGCCAAAGTTCTTTTTTCATTGTATCTTGCTACTTCAAAAGAGGAAGGATGAACTTGCTTTGACATGCACAGTTTTAGGAGAGATGCAAACATTAATTACTCTTACAAATGCTGTTGGAGTCAGTGTAGAGTGAAAGTTGAGGCATCTGGCACCTTTATGAGCACTTTGCTTATAATGCTTTCATCTTTCCCCTCCCTAATTACAAATGACTCTACTTTTACTTAAGGTGCTCTAGAAGTGTAGGGGTTCTGAGCTAGGTTGGTAACCACTTGATCAGCAGTTCGAATCTACCAGCTGCTCCCATAAAGATTTACAGCCTTAGAAACCCTATACAGGGTCACTGTAAGTTGAATTTGATGCCACACCACATAATCACCACCACTTTCTCCTGCTTTGAGTCTTCATTTTAAAACCAAGATCAGGACACATGGATTCAAAATAGAATGGAATCATTGTAATTCACGATGATTGGTCTCCTAATTAGTGTTCCAAATCCAATTCTGCTTCTATCTTCTATAAGGAGCATTGGTTGAGCACTCATCTACTAATCAAAAGATTGGTGGTTTGAACCATCAGCCACTCAGTAGGAGAAAGATGTGGCAGCCTGCTTCCATAAAGATTTACAGCTTTAGCAACCCTGTGGAGCATTTCTGTTCAGTCCTATTGAGTTGCTATGAGTTGGATTTGATTCGACTACAGTGGGTTTGGTTTATTCTTTTGGTATCTCCTTGATGAACTTATTTTGGTCTGTATCCTCTGGATATTTAGATGATAATGTATATGGATCTGTCCCGCTACCCCTATTGTTTTTTCTGAAGAAAAAACTGGTTTAGAGGGAAGAATCTACACAGTAAGCTAATCGATGAAGCTATTTCTGGGATCTGGTCTGGCCTTTATTGTCTCATTTTGCATGCTGTCATTGTGATTTGCTATTGACTGTTTTCTGTTTCTCAGGTTGTTTATCATGAGCATTCAGCTCTGGTCATTGACATTATTAGAAATGAATCCTCATGTCTCACAAAAAGACACTCGGTGAGACTAAATTACCTTGGCAAAACAAAATTTACTTCTGCAGAAGGGTGCGTGCACATAGAAGTACAGAAACAGGCCAGTGAGCACACTGAGCTGGCATTCCACTCGGGTTTTTATTCCTGGTGCAAGTCTTAAGGCTGTGTCTCACCCCACTGGTTAGGGCTTTGACCTCAGTCTTTTCCCTCACCTGGTTGGC